TTGGTGAATTAATCTAGTTAATTGATCATTAGAATAAGTTATTTAATTAATTTATTTGTGTAAAATTAGTTTAATAAGTAGGATTAAGGAAGAAATTTGGCCAAATTTGAAAGAAAAAGTGTCCAAGAGTGCAAGATAAAGGGCTGTCATTGAAAGGGTCTGAAACTACGTAGTTTTGCCTCAAAACTACGTCGTTTCACTAAATGAAACAAGATCAAATCATACCCATCCATTCCATCTTGATCCAATGGATCACATTCACTCTTGGCTTAGGTATTTAAAGCCTCAAAAATCTGAAAATTATCCTCATTTTCACCCATAATTCTTTTCTCCTTCTTCTCTCTTCTCTCTCTCTTCACTCTCTCTACGCTGCCCCAGCTCCGCCCACCGCCGCTGGCCGGAAATCACCGCTGCTGGCGGACCACCTCCAAACACCTCCAAATTCACACCATGTAATCTCCACAACTTCCTCCTTCCATATCTCCAAACCAAATCCTTCAAAAATCCCTCAAACTCCTTGAATCTTGATCTAGGAAACTTTCCCGTCACTTTTTTGCCCAAATTCTTGAAGCTCCAACCACTACCACCCCACAATACTTACATTAATGGATAGAGCTCCTCAAGACCTAGCTATTGATGACAATTTCACCATGAAAATCCGGCGATCAAAATCCGGCCAAATTCTGGCGACCTCCCCGAACACCCTCTTTTGGCATACCACCATTTTTTAGGCCACTTGAATTATAAAATGGTAAAAATCCTATTATTTTTCATGGCTGATTTTTTATTTTATTTTTATTTTTTCAGATCTTATTTTTGTCTATTATTAATAATTTTAGCATTAGTTTTTGAAGTTTGAAATGTCAAATTTTTTGTTTTTGCACTTGTTGAAGTAGTAAAATAGTTTTGTGTTGATAAAAGTGAGGTAGTGAAAAATACTTAAGAGTATATGGTACTTGTTTGATTGTTTATTTACTACTTCAAGACTCTTTGAGTACAACACTCAAAAGTCAAATTGTTTGGTAAGAAAATGTAGACCTTTAGACAGCGTTTGAATAAAAGTCTGTCTTTGAATAGTGGAGAGCAGATTTTGTTTGAAATACTTGACAAGATTTGAACCAGAAAGTCTGGCATTTTGAATTTAAGAGCAGATTTTGTAGAAAAATCTGTCAAAAAGATTGATTTTTAATTTTTTTGAAATAGCTGATTGTTTTGATATAAAAGGAGGACACTCCATCTTACTGAGGGAGCTCTAGACACACAAAAAAGAGAAAAAATCAGTAGCTATAATATCCCTTAGCAGCTTTTGTGAGTTGATTCTTAAGTGAAAAACTTGTTTAAGGAAAATAGAGTAGTCTTGAAAGATTTTTTTGGAGTTACATAATTGTACTGTTTTGCTAGGGTATTTCTAGTTTATTTTCTTGGGTTTGAATCTGCCGGTTGTTGCTGTCTTTTGCTGTTGTTGCTGCCCGTTTAATTGTTTTGCTATTGATTTTGGAAAGAGCTGACTCTGCTGTATTTGTTCTTCTTTCTGCTGTCCAGGTAATTTTCGGACCATGTAAACTCATAAAATCGAGTTGGAATGAAAGATAATGAAGCTGGAAAATATTAGTAGCTTTATCCTTCTATTGTAATTCATTTTTATATGCTCTTGAATGTTTGATAATGTTATAACGATATGTTAGTTAATTAAATTGTGTTAAACATCTTTAATTATTTTTATCTTTGCAAAGCATTAGATATAATTCCACAGGCATTTAGTTGTCTGAAAGGAGCATATATATTAAAATTTGAACTCTTGTGGCCATGTTTGTCCCTTTGTCGTCACCAAGCTAAGTTTTTATTATTTTATTATTATTATTATTATTATTATTATTATTATTATTATTATATTTTAGAGTCCCAATAATCTTTTTTTTATATCTTAAAAATACTTATTTAGTAAGGTAGTTAAGTTGTAGATTAGAAAGACAATCTGTAAACTTATTTTTGTAAATAGTTGGCTACGGATTGCAAATAGCAAGATATGGCCAAATCTGTAACATAGCTTTAAAAGGCCATATCTGCAGATTTAAAGTCCAAAAGCATATGAGCTTTTGGATTTTGTCTTGGACATGAGCCCATTTGACTCCATCAACCCAATAGTGGGTTGCCTCATTCAATGTCAAGACAAGCCCACATCTTACTAGTTTTAAGCAATGTCAATTGATAATTTTCTCTCATTACTCTCATCTTTTAAATTAGTACTCATAACAATAATTTTCTCTCATTAGTTAAGTTGTAGATTATTATTCAAATCTTTTCTTTAATTTTTTTTAAAAAAAAATAAAAACGGACATAAGAAAAGCATAAAAATCAAATAAACCACAGTTTATCCAAGTTTAATTCAAGCCAAATGTAGTCAATAAAGCGACCGTGCTAGAACCACGGGACTCAGGGAATGCCTTACACCTTCTCCCCGGTCAACAGAATTCCTTACCCGGACTTTGTTTTCGCAGACCAATAATAATAGAGTCAAACCTTCCTTTGAATAGGGATTCAAATAAAAGGTGACTTGGAACACCAGTAGAAATCAATTCCAAGTGGCGACTCTGTAAATAAAATAATCCCTACTTCAAATTTGTCACTTTAATTAGAAAAGCTCTTTAACCCACAATCCATAACATTTTACACTTATCTCTTGGAGGGATAAAAAGGGGTGTGACACCGGCCCGGCCCAGAAGTAGCTGCCATGGCTGTGATAGAATTGACAGACTAAGGCAAAGACGTGCTCCAATGCTTTTTGTGCCTGAAGAGACGAAGGATCCGATGTCAAGGTGGAGGGATAGCTATCCAGAATAATGAGATCTCCCAAAGAAACAAAGGCCACCCTATATATATGTAGAGAACAATGATGATTCCCCTATCCAGAGTAAGCCCGGGAAGCAAACGGCCTCGATACAGATCTAAGAGTGGTACCCGACCCTAGAGGCATCCATCGATAAGAGGTTAGGCCTCAAAAGGTCAACTATACTATCTCTAGTCTCTAGGTAGTACCTGACCTCGAGGATCTCCACCAAAAGAAAAATTAGGCTTCGAGAAGCCTTCAACACCATCATTTAACTCGAGGCGATACCTGATCTCGTGGTTTCCCTCTCTCAAAAGAAAAATAAGCGCGCGAAGCTCCTATCGTGAAAGCTCTAGGAGAGCTCTAGGCACCGCCTAAGCATAAGGCAACCCTTCAACAGAAGTCTATCCACTACGCTTTAAAAAGCTATCTGCATCAAGTTCAAAGCAGGCCCCCAAATACCCCGAAGCTGACCCTCGTTTAGGATACCACTCTCGAAAGCTCCAAAACTCAACATACACTATCTCCATGCAACTCAGATGTCTCGACAACTCGAACCTATCAGATCAATTTAGGCTTGATCTGAGGCATGATGATGGGCTCAGAAAAGTGCCATGTCAATCGGCGGAGGATCAACAAAAGTGCTCGTGTCTGAATTAGATATCAGTGGTCAACAACAAAGGAAAACATTCGAAGGGCACAAAAATGTACAATAATGGGGCAAGAATCGAAAACAAAAATCAAGAAAGTATCTTCACATTCATGAATATCCATGTACAATAGCCCTCGAGGGGTCCTTACATACAATTACAAAAGCCTACAGAGGATCTCTACATAGAAGTGGAGGAACGGAAAGATGTACATGTGATGAAACCCAAGAGCCCAGTCCATCCTTGAAGGACCATCTCCAGTATCATCATCCTCGAGCATCGCCCTCTCGAGTACATATCCTCGAGGGAGACTCCTTCGACCGCTGCCTCATCTAGGCTCCCAGCTAAATCACCCGGGGGATCCCTGCCAAGGGAAAAGATGAAGAAGAGGAAAAGGAGGGGATACAGAGGAGGCAGAGAAAATAGACATGGCCCGCCAAAGCCAAAGGTTGAAGATTTGGTGGGCCCCAGCCTCAACGGCCAGTAATGCCATTTTATCCCTTGGGAGAGGAAAAACCTGAGGGATGAAGTGCCACACCAGGCCTAAGTAGGAGAGTGAGCAGCGGTGCATAGTTCGAGTGACTGCTTATGAAAAGGGAGAACCAACTCCCCGTCCATCATCATATTGAACACAACAACGACCACAACAGCGACAGGGCAGCTTGGTCATGCTTGACAAAGGGAAGCTCCGGCAAGAGGCCACAACACATTCTACGGTAGCTTTGCCAAACAGCCTTGAGGCCTTAAGCCCTAAGCATAATGTTCAAGTATAGAAGAAGATGATAAGAAGAAGTGGGCAAATGAGCCAACGAGGTTACTGGGATAGGAAAAACAAAGCCAAGGTACCCCCATTTATAGGGGGTAACGACACGGTCATCGAGGCTTTGGAAGATTGACCGGCGGACGCAATTACTGCGTTCTTGAAAAACCGAATCGACAACAGTACATTCACCTTAGAGAATGGGAATCAGAAGTGCTATGAATGAAGCCAAAATGCACAAGCCCATGGGACAGCCCGGTTGCCACAAAAGCTCGCGCCATAGGTTGCATCATTGGTGTGGCGTCACCGTAAGAAGCTCGAGGAGTCAAGTATCAGAACCATTTCCCATCGCTTCATTCTGGGAAATGCGAAGACTATCTGTATGCGGTAGAATTAGAGGACTTAATTTCTCGTTATCAATTCATTTAAGAAGAATGCCTCGAGACCCCGAGGACGTGGAGCCACAACCGAGTCCCCTCCCTCGGGGTTTGTCGAGGCCCGACTCGTAGAAGATGGAGGTTGAGGCCAGAACAAAAGGGGAAGCTCCCAAGGTGCACGACTAGGTCTGATAGAGCTGGTCTATCCATAGCCTATTCCGAAGCGTCGTGTCTAGTCGTCCCATCTTCATACTTTACAATTAATGCATGTTGTACTATAGCCAGGTTCCGCTCCTATATAAAGGGAACCCGCACCACTTTGTAAGGGGCTGATGTTGCTCCATTTCTCCACAAGATCAATAATATCTCTCTCTCTCTTTCTCTCTAAATCGCTCGTTCTTATTAGCTCGAAGCCATTTTAGCATTTACTACTCTCACATTTGTTCTTCATTTATTGCTTGGTATTGGCCATATAGAGCCTTATTCAATCATCTTAACTGTTATCCCATTCCCGACTACCCCCAATAGCTCGAGATCGAGCCCAGGTATCGACATCGAGGTCCTTCATCGACCAGTTCGAAGCCAGGGTAACAAGCCCCTCGATTTGATTACTGCCTCGTTTTAGCTTGCATTTCATCGTTAAACTTCATATTCCTATCATCATCTGCTCTAACAACTAGCATAAAAATCGATCACGTATTTTTAGAATCCCATTTATAAATTTAATTGTTGTTACCATTTTCACGGTAAACATGCGTATTATTCTGAGACCCATGAACAGAAGATAATAATAATTCTCATGGGGAATCAAGAATATAGACACCCCTAGTATCTCTATGAATAGAGTAATTTATGGAAATTATGTGTTTTCTCGTTTCTTCAGTATAATTTGGACCGTACCAAAAGAAATAAGGGATGGACTTAACATACCTGGAGTAGAGGTTCGTGTGATATTTTTGAGAAGGTTTACACCGTACTCCCTTAAAATTGCAAAATCTCACATTGCTAATTGTGCTAAGAAACATCGTTGGATTTTGTTTGAAGAAATCACGTTATCACTGTAGTAATTTGATTGAAGATTTTGGAGAATGAAACTTATTTGAAAGCCTTTAATAATGGCTAACGTTCCTCCCCCAACTTCTGATGGAAGCCTTTTGATATGGAAAATGTTTGGAATAAAATGAATATCTAACTTCTAATGGAAACCTTTTGATATGGAAAATGTTTGGAATAAATGAATGTCTAAACCTTTACATTAGCTTGCCACCTCATAAGAAATGACTATGAGTCATTTCTTTAGGGTGTGGCTTGCTGCCACGTAGGGATGGGGTGGGAAGGTTTAGTCTTTATCCACTTATTAGATAATTAGGTAGTGTTCTGTTACCCGATAATTAATTAATTATCCGTATAATTAAGAGTTGATATATATATATATATATATACATATACATACTATCATGGTCTTATGGTACCTTGTATGGTACTAGTCCATAAATATCGGGTATTAACGCTCGGCCCGTATTTTATCGCAACATGCTAAATTTGGACAAAAACTCATTTTCTTTGACTGTCTTCCCGTCTCACCTTCATGAATTTACTCATAACTTGTTTGAAGTATCATAATCCTTATATTCTCCAAATAATCTTTTCCTTGGACTGATGTCAATTACCTTACGACATATTCAACGTATAATACTACATGGTGCAACATCGTCGTAATGTAGTACTACGGGACGTGACATCTCACTTTCGGGCTCTCATTAATTTATTTATGGTGTATTTTCATGTAAGAAAATATGGGGTGTAACATCATTCCCCCCTTTGGAACATTCGTCCTCAAATGTTGACTGATGCGCTTATCGTTCCCATATCTTATAGCTCTTGTGAATACTTTAGTAGTCCTGTTGCCATCTAGGCAACTGTTCTGTGAATAAGTCCAAAGGCCAGGGCATTTTCCCCTTTAGGCCTCTTTCCCCTGCCATGACTTGTGATCGAATTCCTTCCAATCTTGTAACTGTTGCTACCTTCCATCATGCAGCTTCTACGATACTGACCTTGTAAGTGTGCCTATGAGACCCTCCTCTCCTTTTTCCTCCAGT